GATACCAAGAAAGGGTTTGGAAAACTAAAGAACTCATCCTTTTCAAGAGGTGAGATTCTTTCACTATTCATTATCTTTCTCCCTCTTATCCTTCATTTTTTGCTTTATTCTTGTTCTATACCCACAATAATTATGTGATAAGTCCTCATAGATGTGGTTGGGGGTAGAAAGTAGCCACTCATCCATTGAGTTGATAGTTTTTTCTTCTTTTTTCATAGTTTATCTCTACTTTCTTGCTCTCCATAGCTAGAATTTTTTAAATTCAATGTTATTATGTATATGTGGAGCAATCTGTATTTTAAGCAAACCTTATGGGGTGTATTTGTAATTTATCCCTTTTTATTTTAGCTTTTAATTAATTAATTAATTAATTTTTTAAACTTTGATTCTTCATATTTTAATTTTTTTTTCACTTCACTCATAACGTTATCTTCTGTTTAAAAGTAGACAGAAAATAACATAATAACTGTCACATAATATAAAAAATATATAATTATATTAAAGTTTAAATTTATTTCAGAGGAATGGATTATATATAATAAAATATTTTTTTATCACATGATTATTAATATGTTATTTTTGATTTAATTTTAAAAAAATTAATTTCAAAAATAAAATAATAAGAACTTAAAACATAACAAGTTAAAACAAACATAAAAGTAATAAAATGTAATTTTCCTTTTAAGCATAAAAGACAAGGAATAGATTCACTAGCTTTATGACTAGTGAAATTGGATCGCATGAGGGGAGCAAGTGTCTAATATAATACATAACTTTTACAAAAGAAAATTTAGTCAAAAGTTTTTTTAAATAATTGTTCAATGTTAAATGGACATGTTCAAATTTCTTAAAGTATAAAATATTTTAGAATTTATTTCTCATGATTAATAGGGGTGAGTATGGTTTGGTTAATTTGGTTTTGAAGTAAATCAAAACCAAATCACTACTTACAACCCACAAAATTTGAAATTAAATTGAGCCATAAAAATCTTGGAACAAAGTCAAATTGAACCATGAAAATACAATTTGATACGATTTGAAATTATAATTTTTATAAATCTTGCCATCGTTCACAATATGATCACAACATACTCAAATCTAAAATAAAATGTCATTATTTACAAACAATAATTATTTAAACGATTATTTGGAATAATTTTACAAAAGAGTACACTTGCAAAAATATATGGTTAACAACTTATGAATATATGAGGGATACTAATAAGGTACTCAATTGTCTATGATAAATAACAAATTATATATATGTATATATGCAAACAATCCGATTCGGTTCAGTTCCAATCTGAAACCATAACTATAAAACCACGAAAAGAACCATAAAATACGGTTTTCCTATTTTAAAAACCATGATTGAACCATGCATAAAAAAAACAAAACCAAACCAAACCATGCGGTTGGTATATGGTTTACAATTTTCTGGTTTTTTTTTTTGCTTAGCCTTATGGATTAAGGGCATTAAAAAAAAAAAGAAAAAAAAAGTGTAATTAACTTCAACTTTCTTCTTCTTTGTTTTTGCAGAGAAAACAACAAACAACAAAGATTCAAGGAAAGCAAAGCCAACCCTGCAAATGGAATGGCCAAAGGAAACAACTTGTGGTTTGAAGAAAATTTGAATGACAATTGGAGCGGAAGATGCGATATGATATGAGAGAGCCTGATCTCTGGTGCTTTTTAAATAAGGTAACTTACACTTTGCCTCCACTTTTTTTTTTAGCTTTTAATTTTTTTTATTTTATTTTTTAATTTTTTCATGACTCTATCTTCTGTTTAAAAGTAGACAGAAAATAACATAGGGGGTGTTTCATGTGAGTTATTGGGGCGATTATAATTTATTTTAATTTAGGAATTTGTGATAGACTGTTTGATGCAGCTTCTGCTTACAAGCTGAGAAAATTTAATTATTTAGAAGTTGAGGAAGGGATGCTTTTGATTTCTACTTTATGATTATCAGCTCTTACCTTAAGTTGCACCAAACATAACCATAATAACTGTCACATAATATAAAAAAAAATATTATTATATTAAAATTTAAATTTATTTATAATAAAATATTTTTATATCACTTGATTATTAACGTGTTATTTTTTTGTTTAAGTTTAAAAATAAATTAATTTCAAAAATAAAATAAGAAGAACTTGAAACGTAACAAGTTAAAACAAACATAAAAGTAATAAAATGTAATTTTCCCTTTAAGCATAAAAGACAAGGAATAGATTCACTTGCTTTATGACTAGTGAAATTGGATCGCATAAGGGGAGCAAGTGTCTAATGTAATACATAACTTTTACAAAAGAAAATTTAGTCAAAAGTTTTTTTAAATAATTGTCTAATGTTAAATGGACATGTTCAAATTTCTTAAAGTATAAAATATTTTAGAATTTATTTCTCATGATTAATAGGGGTGAGTATGGTTTGGTTAATTTGGTTTTGAAGTAAATCAAAACCAAATCACTACTTACAACCCACAAAATTTGGAATTAAATTGAGCCATAAAAATCTTGGAACAAAGTCAAATTGAACCATGAAAATACAATTTGATACGATTTGAAATTATAATTTTTATAAATCTTGCCATCGTTCACAATATGATCACAGCATACTCAAATCTAAAATAAAATGTCATTATTTACAAACAATAATTATTTAAACAATTATTTGGAATAGTTTTACAAAAGAGCACACTTGCAAAAATATATGGTTAACAACTTATGAATATATAAGGGATACAAATAAGGTATTCAATTGTCTACGATAAATAACAAATTATATGTATGTACATATCTAAACAATTCGATTCGTTCAGTTCCACACTGAAACCATAACTATAAAACCACGAAAAGAATCATAAAATACGGTTTTCCTATTTTAAAAACCATGACTGAACCATGCATTAAAAAAAACCAAACCAAACCATGCAGTTGGTATAAATTGAATTGGTTTATAATTTTCTGGTTTTTTTTTGCTTAGCCTTACGGATTAAGGGCATAAAAAAATAAAAAAATAAAAAAAAAATAAAAAAAAAAGAGTAATTAACTTCAACTTTCTTCTTCCTTGTTTTTGCAGAGGAAAACAACAAACAACAAAGATTCAAGGAAAGCAAAGCCAACCCTGCAAATGGAATGGTCAAAGGAAACAATATGTGATTTGAAGAAAATTTGAATGACAGATTGGAGCGGAAGATGCGATATGATATCAGAGAGCCTGATCTCTGGTGCTTTTTAAACAGGGTAACTTACACTTTGCCTTCACTTTTTATTTTAGCTTTTGATTTTAATTATTATTATTTTTTTTAAAACTTTGATTCTTCATATTTTAAATTTTTTTCACTTTATTAGTAACGCTATCTTCTATTTAAAATTAGACAGAAAATAATATAATAACTGTCACATAATATAAAAATAAATTATTATATTAAAATTTAAGTTTATTTTATAGGAATGAGTTATATATAATAAAATATTTTTATATTACGTAACTATCAATATATATATATATATATTTTTTAAAAAGAAATTAATTTCAAAAATAAAATAAGAAGAACTTGAAACCTAACAAGTTAAAACAAACATAAAAATAATAAAATTTAATTCTCCTTTTAAGCATAAAAGACAAGGAATAGATTCACTAGCTTTATGACTAGTGAAATTGGATCGCATAAGGGGAGCAAGTGTCTAATGTAATACATAACTTTTACAAAAGAAAATTTAGTCAAAAGTTTTTTAAAATAATTGTCTAATGTTATATGGGCATGTTCAAATTTTTTAGTGTATAAAATATTTTAAAATTTATTTCTCATGATTAATAGGAGTGAGTATGGTTTGGTTAATTTGGTTTTGAAGTAAATTAAAACCAAATCGCTACTTCCTGCCCATAAAATTTGGAATTAAATTGAACCATAAAAATTTTGGAACAAAGTCAAATTGAACCATGAAAATACAATTTGATGCGATTTGAAATCACAATTTTTATAAATCTTGCCATCGTTCACAATATGATCACAGCATACTCAAATCTAAAATAAAATGTCATTATTTACAAACAATAATTATTTAAACAATTATTTGGAATAGTTTTACAAAAGAGCACACTTGCAAAAATATATGGTTAACAACTTATGAATATATAAGGGATACAAATAAGGTATTCAATTGTCTACGATAAATAACAAATTATATGTATGTACATATCTAAACAATTCGATTCGTTCAGTTCCACACTGAAACCATAACTATAAAACCACGAAAAAAAACCCATAAAATGCGGTTTTCCTATTTTAAAAACCATGACTGAACCATACATTTAAAAAACCAAACCAAACCGTGCGGTTGGTATGAATCAAATTGATTTACAATTTTCTGGTTTTTTTTTATTTTTTTCTTCTTAGCCCTACGAATTAAGGGCATAAAAAAAATAATAATAATAATAATAAAAATTATATGTGCACAACAATTTTGTCTCCTTACACCTAAGCATCTCCAACGGTTCGCTAAAAAGGCTGTCAAAGCCATAATATGGCAGGTTTGGCAAAAATGGGTTCTCCAATGGCATGGTATAGCAGCTGCCAAATTTGGCATTTGCCAAACCATGTGTCAAATTTGGCAACAGTTTTGGCAGTTGCCAAATCTGCTAGCTCACTCAAAACCAATGACTTTCCCTTCATTCCCTCCCTCCCTCCTTCCCTTTCTCATCCTTTCCCAGAAAAACCTCCCAAAAACAGATCAATTTTTTTTTAAACAAAATTCATCAATTTTTAAAAAATAAAAATAAAAATCACCAAAATTTTTAAATGATTTCGCAATTGCTAATTTTTTTTTTGTTTCAAAATTCACCAACTTTTTTTCTAAACAAAATTAGTCAACAACAACAACAATCAAACAATTTCAATCAAATTTGAAGCAATCTCAAACAAATTTCAAGCAATCTCAACAAATCCCAAGCAAATGTTAATAAATATGAAGCAAATTTTAAACAATAATTACCTGGATTTCAAGATGCTTGATGTATTTCAGAAGATTTCATCTCCGTGCATGGTTTAACTTGGGGTTCCGAATTCTTCTTCATCTTCAATTTAGGGTTTCAACCTCTCTCAATTTAGGTTTACTTGGGGTTTCTATTTGGGAGGGTTTCCTTGGGGTTTCGGAGAATGGATCAAGATGGATCAAGAGGGGGGTGGATGGGTGAGTGCGAGACAGGGTGAGAGAAGGTGTTGATGGGATAAGTGATTAGTAGAAATGGCAACGGGGCGGGGCCGGGGGCCACACTCCCCATCCCCGATCCCCGATAGTGAGAAATTCCTCGTCCCCGGCCCCGATCCCTGACGGGGACCCCATCAGCCCCCCCGCCCCCGCCTCCGATCGGGGATCGGGTTTCCCCGACCCCGAAAATCCCCGACCTGTTCATTTTTTATTTTTTTTTAACACAAAAACAACAAAAATAATTTCAATCTGTTGTATTCAGTAATCTATCATCATCATCATCATTAAAAATTTCAAACTATTGTATAGATCAACTGATATTGATCTATCATCAAATAGATCAAAACCATAGATCATCAAATAGATCAAAACAGATCTCTTCAAAACAGATCATTTTCAATCTATTGTATAAACCACATAGATCATCCCTATTGAGACAAGAACAAAACCATCAATATCATCAAATAGATCAACAACAACATAGATCATTAACACAGATCTCTTTAACAGATCAACAACAAATCATTAACCATTTCAACATTAACAGATCAACTGCACACAAAACAAAAATAAAATGATAACATAAGACACAAATCAGAGGGGAGGAGGGAGAGAGAGAGAGAGAGAAACTAGATCTGGTAAATCTACACCATGCTCGATCGATCTGTAATCCCTGGAGTTAATCTGCAACGGCGAAGATCTAGCGAGGGACGACAGCGGATCTCAGTCTCAGATCGGAGGATCGAGTCGACGTCGGACAATGGCGTCGGAAGAGATAGTAGAGGGAAGAGAGAGAGAGAGAGAGAGAGAGAGAGAAGTAGGTTTGTAAGGGAGAAGAGAGAGAGTCGTAGGGATGGTGGAGATCGGTGGTGGGAGGAGGGAGATCGGCGGTGGAAGATGGAGATCGGCCGACAGTTTTAAAGAGAGGGAGAGAGAGAGACAGATGAGAGGCAGATGAGTATGAGTGAGTATGAGGCTGCACGCTTACTCACTGAGGTTTTGTGTGAGTGAAGTAAAAAAGTTGATTTATATATATATATATAGAGGGTAAAATGGTAATTTTGCTTCGGGGAAAATTCGGGGCCGGGGACGGGGCCGGGGATGGGCCGGGGCTTGAACACTGATCACCGTCCCCGGCCCGAAACTGATCGGGGTTTTAATTTTGAATACCATCCCCGTCCCCACGGGGGTATTTTTTGGGAAAAAACCATTCTCATCGGGGTCGGGGGATCGGGTCCCCATCGGGCCGGGTTCAAATTGCCATCCCTAGTGATTAAACTCAGTTAAAGAGAGACGGTCAAAAAAGAAAGGAAGAATAACAAGAAAACAAAGGAAAAAAAGAGCAGGAGAGACAGAGAGAGGTGTATGATGGGGCCAATTTTCTTGATTGTGACATTTTGAATATTTTAGTCCGACTCTAGATTGTGTTTTTTACTTTATTCTCAATATAGGGTGAAACGTGTTTATCAAAATCGTTTTCATTAAAATGGTATTGGCAAAGCCGTTTTTGATGAATAAAAAGATAATAAAATTTTCCTTCATAAAAATGATTTTTGTAAAATTATTTTTACTTAACACCTAATTAATTTAAGTTTATATAAAACGGTTTTTGTAAAACCGTTTTTATTTTTATTATTTTTTTTTTTCAATTTATAAATATTGTTTGCCTAAAATAATAATTTGAAAATAAATAGAAAACGGTTTTTGTAAAACCGTTTTTATTTTTATTAAATTTTTTTTACAATTTATAAATATTGTTTGCCTAAAATAATAATTTTATCATAAATAGAAAACGGTTTTCGGAAAGCCGTTTCATTTTAAACAAAACCCATTTCCTTCTCCCTTTACGAAAGTCGTTTCTTCTTTTCCAGCTCATCTTCTTCTCCCTCACTCAGTCGAACTCCGAAGGGAAGACCGACGACAAAGAGGAAACAACGAACAACAGCCAACAGTACACTACCAGGAAAACGTGGAACACCTTCATCAAACACCCACATTCAGGTTTGTATCACATAAATGAGGGTTTTCATTTCAAATTTGGGATTTTAAATTTCGAAATTAGGGATTGCTGAATCTAGGGCATTGAAAAGTTACAAATTTTGTTATTCGTAAGATATGGTTTACGATTTCCTGTATCTCAGTTCACTTTTTCTGTATCTCTGTTCACTCCTTTTTGTTTATCATATAATATCCTTATTTTCCTCTTTTTCAATACACTCTTAGCCACAAGATGTAGTGGAATTTTGAAATATTGAAATCTTGAGACATAGTCTTGTGTTTAAAAATGTATTGGGAATATAGGGCAAAATTTTAGAACAAAAGTAGGAATAGCAATGAAGTAGAGTGGGATTGGATTTGTAAAATTTTAAGCATTTTTTTTTAAACTTTTTTAAATGCATTTTATTTAGATGTGTCTAAAAAGTAAAATATTTGTAAAAAAAAATTAAAAATTAATAAATATACAAAAATATGAAAATGTACTGAATTTTTGTTTGTTTGTTTTTTTTTTTTGTATTTTTGGTATTTAGTGTATTTATGCTAGGTGTGTTTAAAAACTTAAAATATTAAAAAATTCAACAAAAACAAAAAAAAAATAAGAAAAATAAGAAAATAGAATTTTCTAAAAATGTTTTAGAAAACTCAAACCAAGCATTATGTTTTAATTTTTTTTTTATTTGTGCTTCAATTTTCTAAAGAAACCCATCTTTGAATGCATTGGAATTGCTGCTCTCTTACTCATCTTTTGATTCCCAAGTCCAACCTTCCCACATGAGAAAAAATAATTAAATTTTTTTTTTCTGAAAACGGGTTTTGTAATACGTTTTCTAAAACGACTTTTCTAAAACTGTTTTTTATTAAAAATATTTTTGGTCAAAAAATATTTATGTTGAAAATATAAATTAAAAAAAATTAATGTAAAAACAACTTTTCTAAAACCGTTTTTTGTTAAAAATATTTTTGGTCAACAAATATTTAAGTGGAAAATATAAATTAAAAAAATTAATGTAAAAACGGCTTTTGTAAATACGTTTTCTAAAACGACTTTTCTAACACCGTTTTTTATTAAAAATATTTTTGGTCAAAAAATATGTATGTTGAAAATATAAATTAAAAAAAATTAATGTAAAAATGGTTTTACCAAAACCGTTTTTAATTAATTTAGAATTAATTAAAAACTTAATTAAAACTGGCTTTTCTAAAGCCATTTTCTAATTTCAAATTTTATTATTATTTTAATCCCAAAACACGGCTTTTCAAAAGTCGTTTTCTAAAAAACGGCATTGCTAAAACCGTTTTACCCTATTATGAGAACAAAGATAAAAACACACCCTAAAGTGAGACTAAAATTTTAAAAACGGTATAGTCAGGGAAATCGGCCGTATGATGGAGCATAGAAACATCTGGAACCCAATCAATTATCTCCACTCAATGAGTGAATTATATATATATGTACAATTTTATGTATATATGTAAAATTATATATATAGGTAAATTTTTGTTTTTTTAATTTTATAGTGGTATGTGAATGGTAAGGTGAATTATGTTTATATGTGTATATATTTTTTATTTTTTTTAAAAAAAATGGGTAAAACGTAAATATTTAATTTTTTTTGAAAAAAAAAATCATAAAAGATAAAAAATAAACAATAAAAAAAATATTCAAAAATCTATATCCAAACATCACCTACAAAATTGGAGGGAAAGTAAGTTAAGATTTGCTAAAATAGCTTTGCACCATTGGAGCATCATTGCTATAATTTGACAAAATAACACTATTTATTGTCAAATTATAGCAATAGCAATGCTAATTTAGCAAACACCATTAGAGATGCTTCCTCTCATTACACCACAATAAAAAATTCAAAATTTTGTCTCTCTCTCTTTACACTAATCATAATACCAAACTTTCTGTTATCTTCTTTACCCTCACTTTTCAAACCTTAGATCTCATCCCTAACTATAGCAGCCACTATCGGCACCTCCAACGGCCATTGTCATCAATTAGAACCACTAAACCACAACCCTTTCCCCACTAGCAAGCCCCCTCCCTAGATGGTCCTTGCGACCACCTCCACTATAACCTTCCGCTTTCAACCAACCACCACAGTTACTCTTCCCCAATGAACCAATCACTCCTTGCCATCTCCGACTATCGTGACCTCCTATCCTCATCTCCAACTCCCATTCTAGTCTCTCTCACTATTGCGACCCCCGTCTCTCCAAACTTCGTAGTGACCCATCCTTGCCACTACGAGGGTTCAAATTACCAGTGCCAAACATGTGGATGGAGTTTGGATTACCAATGTCAAACATACGGCCTTCATTTGATTTCTTAATGCCTGTAGACACCCCATTTTTGACCAACCTTAAGACTCAGAAATCACCGATTGAGCGCTCGGTGATATTGCATAATGTGCTCGTTCAGAAGTTTCAGAGTCTTGGCCGTGAGCCCTGCCTCCGGACTTCCGGACTCTTTTGTGCCTTGCCTCGATTTGCAAACCAGACTCGGTTTTCTTTGTTTCTTTTCCTGAGGGGAGGGAGAGGTCCTGTAGACCATCTCTTAGTGGCCGTGGGCTACATTTGGTGGCCGTAGGCCATTTTGCCCATTTCGGAGCCCGGTTTCCGATTTTTCGGGACCGTTGGCCGTGTGCTTCGGTTCGGAACCGCTTAACCATCTCCGTTTGCTCTAAATTTTGGCATACATCATATTTTCTCCCTTTCAAGGGACACTGGGGTCTGAGAAACCCACTTCATGGCCGAACGCCACTTTCGGTGCTTGGCAGCCCATTTTCGAGACCCCGAACTGCGTGTTTTGGCCCCCGAGCATTCGTTTTGCATCAGTTTTCGTTCATTTTTGGCAGGTGCCTCTGTTTCATCACCAGGAAGGTCACTGGAGGGTGGGAGGCCAGCAATTATCTTGGCAACCAGTTATATTCCATTTTCGCCCTCCGACGCTCGTTTTTCTCACTTCCGAGCCAATGTTGTACACCTTGGGGCCACTTTCTTGAACTTTGAACCACATAT